AATAAACTTTTTTTTATTAATAGCTTATTTTAATTATTAATTTATTACCTATTATACTTATATTATTTTATAGCTTATATAGCCGGCCTAACTTGCGATTTACAGTGCAGCTTATAACTAGGTTGTAATAAATTTCTTAAACTTAAGCCCTCTTTTATATTATAACTAATAAACTTTTTTTTATTAATAGCTTATTTTAATTATTAATTTATTACCTATTATACTTATATTATTTTATAGCTTATATAGCCGGCCTAACTTGCGATTTACAGTGCAGCTTATAACTAGGTTGTAATAAATTTCTTAAACTTAAGCCCTCTTTTATATTATACCGGTATAATAGTATAAACTACAGGAGTTTATTCCTTTCTTAATTATTTATAAACTTTAGAGGAGGTAATATAAATCCTATCTAATTCTAAGTTTAATATAAATAGTAATACCAAGATTATAGAATAAGATATTTTATTAGTACTTTTAGTATAAAATTAATATTATAATAACTTACTTCCTTTTATTTCTAAGATTATAGCGTCTCTAATATATACTCTCTTATAAGATTATTTATAGTACTAGTAAAGTACTTATACTTGCCTTAATAAGTCTTTATCCTAGTAAATAATAAGAGTTTATATAACCCTTTTATAGCTATACTTTAAATAATACTAAAAATTATACTAGTAGTACTATAAACTACATGCTTAGTATAGTTTATATATCCTACTTTTATTAGTTTATCTTATATAGCACAAGATCAGAATTTAGCCTCTGCCCTATATATTAAACCTATTAGGAAGCCACCCTTAATCGTGCCCGCGCTAATTCCCGTAAAGAAGTATAAGTTAAGGCAATTCTTAGTCTTCTATAAGCTTTAAGCGCTGACGCAGCACTTTTAATAACAGCTTAATTAATATTATTACTAATATTCTTCCGGTTAATAGTATATAAAGTTCCCCTTATAACGTGTCTTATACCTAAGGAATATTAGCTACTAAAACTCTAGAGTTAGTCTATAAAGTAGATAATAAATAAGAAGGGTCTTTACATTTAAAGGTGTGTTTTACCGCTAATTATATAGGTAGCCCTTAACTACCGGAGAGAAAACATATATAGAGGAGAGAATAAGCTTAAACTTCTAAGCTACCTATAAGACTAACCCACACTTTATTTCATCCAGAGTTAATAGTAAAGCCACGTATAATTTAATTTATTAACTTAATAGTCTGAGTCAAATAGTAAAACACGGCCAGTAATCGCCGATCTTAATAGCCTTAAAACACTTATATACACTAAGGCAAAGTATATATCAGACCAACAAGAATTCATAAAAGATCAAGTATAATAGCGCTAAAGTCACTAATTATATTAAATAAGGATTATCTAAAAAATAAATAAAAGATAAATATAAACGCGCTATTTATCTTGTGACCAGCTTTACTGATTTAGAGAAGCTGTAGCAAGGAGTCGTTTCTGATACCTGCAGTACCACATCGCGGCAGTGCAAAAAGCAATGACTTGCCCCATTTGGGAGGAAATTAATGTCGATCCACCCCACCACACCGAGATCTGAAGACACCAGACTCTATTCATTTCCCAGCCATGTCATTCATTTCACAACTATGGTAATCCCATTACACTGTGTAGATGGCCAGCCGACTCCAATAGTTCGGGCGTGGTGGGGTGACGTTAACCACCACCGCCATGTTGTTATTGAGAACCACCTTCAAGAACTCTTGGCTAACCACGCAGGTCCGCGGCGGGCGAGACTCGAATCAGGATGAGGAAGAAATCGGGACGAGACCCTAGATCTTTTACAGTGAGTGTCTCCATCATCTCCCGTTGGACCAGGTGCTCTGTGTCATGGGCTCACTTCCAAGAAAGTCAAGCCAAAAATTCCGTATATGACCCAAATCTCTAGCGCCACAATGACGAATAAATTCGACTCGCTAATAAGACATAGTTTAGCATGCCGTTCGAGTCGTGGATGAGCACGACAGTACAGATACCTTTTCATATATCTATTAGGTTGAATGGGCAGATATGACAACCAATTTTAGTCCATCTTTCCTAAAGTATAGACGCTAGCGAGCCAGTATGCTTTTACCGCCGTCTTCTAAGAGTCTCGCGCGAATTTTGACCCTAACATGAGATTGTCCCAATACATTTGGCTGAAAATCATTATTCATGCTTCCTTTAATCGGCGTACTCGGATAAAATATCAAGGCTTCCCCCGTGCTAAGACTTACTATGGTCTCAAATATATCATAGATGGATTCTCCCAACAACCTGCTATCTTTATGCTCAGCATCAGATCTTTTTCCAACATTTATGGCTATGCAAGCTCGCAGAGCTCTGAGCCACACAGGTGAACTAAAACGATGTATGATTGTGGTTAAACATAGATCTAGAAGAGCTGGCGCTATGGTGGGCTCTTGTGACGATATAATTACCTAAACCCCAAGGTGCCGCTATAACCGGACAGCTGACAGCAGTGTGTTCGTCAACGTAAAAGACTCTGGAGAAGTAGACATGTACTAAAGTTGCAAATGTAATGTCAGGTGCCATTCTTTGGTCTTCAGCGTTAAAATACTCACCTTGTGTGCTTCGTTAAGAGCTACCACCCGGCCGTAATTGATTTCTTGCTCTAGAAAGATGCTCAGGCAGACATTAAACAAGGAGCATGCCATTGCCGGTGTAATACAGGGACAAGAGAGGTCGACTATAGTGAGCAGGCCAGGCTGTGTTAATGTTAGTACAGGTTAATGAGCTTTGAGGAGTACTTACCTTGCTTGCCCAGTTTGACCCTGGTGGAGCCTTTGGGCCTTTCCCCTTTCTTTTTGGTGCCGCTAACAGCATGAAACTCTCCAGTACTAACAGCTGCTGGCTGAGTGGTGTAAGTTAAGAAGGCGTTAAATCAGAGGATAAAAGTAATAACTTAAATTTATTATAGCTAAAACGCTCTCCTGAAACTTGCTGGGCTATGCGTATTTCCCTTAAGATACAGTGAATAACATATATATAAAGAGGAGCCGCCGCATTGTCTTAGTTTACTACCATAAGATCCAACATACGTTTGGTATTAAGATCCTTGCTGTTAATTTGCAACGGCTCTATATTAATATTTAGGCGGGCGTATATATCCTATTAATGATATTAATAACCTCTGAGATCTTCAAAACTAGTGGGGAAGGTAAAGCTCACCCGGATAGTGGATAGATTAGAAGGTGAGCATAGCATACGGGCTCTGATACCACGCAGTGACGCAAGAAATGCCGCCTTACATGGGGATCCACCGTCATCTAATATAAATGCATCATAGTGAAAGACTAAGGCTGTGAGTGGTTTTTGAAGGTCAGCAGCATCAGAGTCCGTAAGACAATTCTCTAGCAGGCAAGACAATGTATGGCTTTTCCCTAAGCCTTAGGACCCGCAGATGAAGGTACTTAAGGGGGCCATCGTATTATAAAATAGGCGAGAACTGGACCGCACAAACTCGCCGTTAGGTTAAATAGAGCTGCTACCATTTTCACATACTATAGATCTAAGAAGTCCATATTAAGTAAATGCTGTATGGCTTAAGAGAGTCTGGCAGTGCTTTAGTAGCGCTGGTGTCAAAAGGGGGGAATTTATAAAGTTCTCGGTGATATTTCTTAGAGTAGGACTTGCTAGCATGCATAAGTGCTAATTAATAACGTAAGCATCTTTAAAGTCCATGTTATTACCGCGCTAATATCAGCTTAAAAGTTACGCTTCTTATCTTAGGTGTTCTTTAAGGCGATCTCAAGACGTATTTATGTTACTCTGTGGGCGTAATATGACGTAAAGCGTTGTACAAATGCTATGTTTCACTATGTCCATTATCGTAATTTCGAATACACCGCCTCTTTATGCGTTGCTTTGCTCAGCTGCTTCCGTTAGACCACTACCGTAATGTAGCGGCTTTGCAAACAATATCCGGAGGCCAATTGAATGACCATGATTACCTGTCATGGTAAAACTTGAAAGCTCGTATCCTAATAGGTGTTTTGCTTTTTCAGACATCGGGTCCAGTAAAGGGTTGCATGGTAAGGTTGTTTCTTATCCCCTGTTGCTTGAAATTGCGACTGTTGGCCTCCTTGCATGTTGGCCTCCTTGCATGTTGGCCTCCTGCATGTTGGCCTCCCGCATGTTGGCTTCCTTGCATGTTGGCCTCCTGCATGTTGGCCTCCCGCATGTTGGCCTCCCGCATCTTGCCGATGCCATCTCGCATATCATCTGAACACCCTTGGTATTCCTGCGACGAGGAGGAGTGAGTGCGGTTGTGGTGCTTCTCATAAACTCAGCAAAGACTGATGCATTTTCTAGAGGCCACTGGGTTAAGTACTTAAGAGCTGCTTGTCCAAGAGTACAAGAACTACGGATCAGTCACTGCACATAGCAGAAGCTACGATATGACTTTTCCAGAGGCCCCGGAAGGATGCCAGACCAACAATCATTCGACATTGCCCGTTAAACCCGAGAAAGTTGGCCCACCTAGATTGGATCCATACCAAAGACTCATTGCTAGATTATATGAGCCACTTTTTTTGTTAAGAGTGCTTGGGCAGACGCGTAAAAGACACACACCTGGCCCTACGGACAGCACCGAAGAGGAATCATGCCGTCGCAGATTTTTTAGGAATCTTTCGTACATTTGCGACTTCGACAAAGGTGGCTCCTCTTGTACGGCCATCGGTGTTGAAGATGCCGAGAATTGCTACAACTTCTGGGTTGCATCCAATACTGTAACCGGCAATATAGCTTGTTTCCTCGAAACTACACTGAACTGCTTGAACAATGTGGCCAATATCCCATTACAGACACGCCACGCCCACGAAGAGGCAATTTTGCAGCGCTGCGTCACATTCGCAGGGCGACGTATCAGGAAAGATGTGAAGTGCTTACAGAGAGCAGCGCAAAGTTGTAAAGACAAGCTGCACAAACGTAACAAAATCATGGGTAATTATAGCCTCTATTGTATTTGTCCAAATCTGGGGCTAATTTTCTGAAGATCGAGAGTTTGGCTCGTGGCTTCAGACTGTTACTCACGAAGACGACTCTCTCGCATGTTGTCTTTCCGCTCACGATGCAGCGAAATCTCAGTTTATGGCTACGTTGACGCTGGAAGCACAATCAGAAGATCGACAGAGAGGACCGCTTGATGGGCGTGGGCCCTTCGCTACTGCCAGGCATTACATTGGAAGACTGGGATATCGCATCACTGCTCACAAGCAACTCATCCAAGACGCCTGCAGCCTTGGCTATTTACTTGGGACATTTAATGTCCGCCTTGTCAGCCCGGTTCGCAGCGTCTCACAGCCTCAGCCAGACTCCCACACATCGTTGAACGGGATTCTTAGTCGGATGTTGAAAAAAGGAGATCCGGAAAGATCGGAAATAGAGCGCTCACTCCACAACATAAATCGTCAATCTGATATCTTTCGAGGCTTCATGGAAGAATTTTCAAATTGCAAGCCCACGGTTCATGCTGAGATTCAAGTCCTAGAACACTTCTTTAACAACAAGTTGAGCTTCGTCGCAAATGATAAGTACATTGCCTGCAGCAAAGCCGCTTGTTTTTGCTGCAAGCTGTACTTTCAACACCACCCTGCTCGAATGGTAATTCCTGAATCTCATGAAAAAGTGTGGACAAGTTGGGGTCCTCCTGCTGTGACCTTTTTCCGGAAACAGAACGACGAGTCGGACCGCCAGCGAGATATTTTGAACAAGATAATTGAATCCTTACGAACTGATGCGATTTACCAAATCTTGAAATGTTCTCAACCTCCTGTTTGGCATCCAGACTCGCAGACCGCGATGTCGGACATCATCACTTCTTGTAAGGGCCCCCTTTACCCTCAGAGGCGGTTGCTGACGAACGAAACTTTGCACACCAGTTCCAAGAGACAGCGACTCATCGGAAGCAGAATTGGCAATCACCCGAGATTCTATCGCACCTCTCTCATCGACGCCGTCGAATACCAAGAGGAGTACTAGCGAAGCAACTAGATGCAGTGATCTTGTGCTTTTTGCGGAAGACTCAGATGATAACGATGGAGGTGTTCGTATTGATGGCCTGTTGTATTGAACACCTGATGGTTGGCGCAATACATGTGCGAAAATAAAATACGTTGTACGAATATTAGTGGTTTTCAATTGCAAAATTTGGCTGATCAGTCAAACACAAAAAGTCTTTACTCAAAGATAAGAAGTGTTGTGTCTGCATTGAAGAGAAAAGGACACATAGAATGGCATATCAGAGTGGTAGAAATTGGATTTTATTTGCTATTCCCCAAAAGCTCTTTAGCTGCAGATGAAGTAAGGCCGTGTATGTTCGTCAAATGCCTCAACAAATTATCCCTACGTGTGAACGGAGCCTTTTCTTCATCACACCGCGGGCAACGGAAATTGTTGGTTGACATATGATGTTCTCCTGCCCGCAATTTATGGGTTTCAAGATGTCGCATCATGTCACCACGATCTGCCACCGCCAACCGACAAAGCTGGCATACGACTGGTTTGACATGAATGCGCATGTGTCTCCTAATGTGAATTTAGCAAGTTGCTTATCCATTCACAGGCTAAAACGATGTACCTCAGAAGACCCCTCTGCGGGAATCCATGTCTCCCCGAACACTTATCATGCTGACAATAGTACATCCCATCCGAAGAAGCCAGTATGTGGTCGTATGAAGGCATTCCTGTCTCTTCAAAACCCCACATGGGCGACAAGTCGGAGGTTGTTGGGAAAGGATTAAGTCCATACCTCATCTCGCTCCAATCGCAGTTTCCTGCTGTTGCTGGTTGCCCAGCTTCACTCAAAGCCATGTCTGAGAAAGAGACTGAATAGCTGGAGATGTCATTCCTCTACAGAGGGGAGATCTCATCGTCAGTACTCGAGACATTGTGCAGCCCGAAACTGGTGTTATCCAAATTCATGGTTGCATCTGTAGCAGCTAGTTGTAGGTCATAGTCCCATTCAGCAAACAAGTAGTTCTCGCCCTCCTGATTTCGGAAAGTCAAGATGCCATAATCCCCCCAGTGGAAATCCCCCAAGTCGAACAATGCCTGTTCTGTCATCATCGTGTCGCAAACGTCCAACGGGATCTCAGAGATAGTTTGAACGAAGTCCGATGCCATTTTTCCAAATTTGATGGTTTCTGTGAAGAAGAAAATAAAACCCGTATGACTTGAACACAGAGGGTCCAACGTTGAGCTTTTGTCTGCTTTTAATCTAGTGCTTAAATTCGAATCAGCCGCAAGTTGGAACTACCGTGCATCTCGATGCTTGGCGTGATTCTAAATTTCGATTGGACCTGGACGACTGGGCGTCAGTTTTTGTTTTTGTATGGGGTCAGCTATGTCAAGCCATTCTGCCTCCTGCATGGTGATCTGCATTAGTAGTGTCCTTCAAATTGAAAAGGACAAAGATCTCCGACAAGGACCCAGAGTAGTCTCAATCTGACCGTCAATTTTGACGCCCACGGTGCCACCAGCCATAGAGTTGGGGACTTGGGGACACTCTACTGCCAGACATGTCGTTCATATTTAGTGCATGTCTTTGCCACAGGCTTCTTTCCTCAAAGATCATATCTCAACAAAACCCATCCGCACGATCCGATCTACTTATGTTTCACTGTTTTTATGCGTTATTGGCTTGAGACAGTCTGGTGTGTGTGAGATGCTTAATGCTCCCGGGGCCATTTCTGATTGGCTTGAGCTTTACAAAATTCTTTAGTGGCTGGCCTCTCGCATTATATGGCTGCATGTTTCTAATGATGCCATAGTATGTTGTTATCTTGTTGGATGCTTAACTTGTGGTGGCGGCTGACTTGAATAGATAACAATGTAGCAGCTACAAGTGTTAACGGTGTCGGTGGGGGCCAAACGACTACCAGCAATCATGATTTGTCGTACCGTTTGGGGCTTTGGGGCCTGTGTCCAGGTTGTGATTTGACGACGTGAGCTCTGCTGAGACCGTAGATGTAGGCCAGCAAGCCAACCTTGCTTGTACGCATCTGTGTGATCACTTATCGGTGATCTATCCCGGCCTGTTATCTGTAGCATGCACGGAATACTCCGTAGAGGATAATTAGGCGGCAAATACCATCCCTGCGTCTGTCTCACCTCGAGTAGCACTGCTAAAGCAAGCCAAATGTTGTCATGGTCGTTGCCCTGGCTCAGTTTAGCCAGATCGCAAGTGGTCCTCTCTAGTTGGTAGTTGGTAGTCGGTACTCGACATCCCTGGCTCCTGTGTCAGAGAGGCGGAGCAAACACATGAACCTTTTGTTTCTATCAAGGGGATGGAAAGCCGGGAATCTCGTCAACCGAAAGATGGGCTGGGGGCTTCCAAGACGCGCGAGATGGTGTGCATCTCGGGTCGTGCGGGCACCTTGAAACAGCCCCAATCTCCAACGGTCCCAGGCTGGGCAAGTCAGGATATAGCAGCAGGACTTGATGTCGATACGACTAGACAGAACAGGCCGTATTTGCTTTCATGACATACAACCAGATGACTAAACACTTTCCGAGTATACATCATTTTGAGGCGTATTACAGTAACATCAAGTTCGAACCGGCTTGAGACGGCTCCGCCTTGTGTCTGACATTGGGCATCTGTCATAGTTACCACCTTGATGCCTCCTTCATGTTGATGAGTGACGGCCGTCTACAAACATTGCCTGGCCAGTTAACGCATCGCTCACCCGGCTGGCGAGACATGGGACAATTCATCCAAAGTCTCCCAGTCATTGTCCGCAGGACGGTCTTGGACATGGGCGTTTCAGCTAGCCTAGGCACTACCGCATGCCTCAGCCTGAGACCTGGTGAGAGCACCGAGCGTTTCTCTGAGGTCCATGGCGAGGGCTGAGAGGTGCCTGGCAGTGGCCTGCAGCGGCCCGGGTCGACGAGCGATGAAAAGAACAAGAGCTCCAGCCTTGCCGATGGCCGTGGCCATGCGAATCATTCTGCCAATGTCACGGCCGACATTGGCAACAGTCCGTCCTCTTGGCAATGACGGGATGGCCATTTTCGAAAGTGAAATTAATGCCATGTGGATTGCAGGGAAGATGATGGGCTTCGTGAAAGTCGGGCGCAGACTTCGTCGATTTATGTTGTGTCGGATTGCTCTGAGTTTTTCGGGGCGTGACTCACGCGGTCGCGAGTCGCCGTCATCATTACGCGTATGCTTTCGCCGGCGCGTAAGGTCATGAATCACCTCTTGAGCTAGTGGATTTGACGCATTGCGATGCGTGTACTGTTTTTTGAATTGTGTGTTACTGTTCAATTACCCGTTGGCAACTAAGTGGACTCCCGACCACGATGCCATACCACGACGACGGGCCCCCAGGAAGGCTGCCACAACCTCTCAACCAGCAGCTTCGTCCGGTAGAAACCGTGGTGATGAGAATAGAGCTGGAAATCAAACTAATGAGCCTGCTCAGCAGCAGCAGCGCAGCCTGGAAACCGTGCCATCGACGCCGTTTACAACATCGCCAGGCGGATGCAGCGGAGACTCAACATCTTCAAGGGATTCACCACCCGCTTCAACAAATGCTCCCAATGCAACACGGCTTGAACGGCTTATAGAACGGCTTGCGGAGCATACAACCGCCCTCACAGCCGCGTCTCAACATGTATCGGAGGCGGCGGCCACGCTGGCAGCCGCCATTGCAGCATTCAATCCACAACATCGGTACGCTGCCCAACAGCAAACATGGGCATCACAGCAACCTCAAATTGCTCAGTTCAGGTTATATCCGCCTGCGAGGGCACAAGGAACCCTGAATGCGTACAATTTTAGTAGTTCATCTAGTAATCAGCCCCGAGCAAACAGTCAATTTCCCCAGCCGTCCCAGGGCCCTGTTTAGGAATTGCTCGAATAGGAATAGACGGCTTGGAAGTTGATGTATTGTAAAAACAAGCGGTAGTCGAATATATATTTTTTTTAAAAAAAACACCAAAAGTTGAATGCCGCCGGGTGGTCAATTTTGCTAGCTACGCGTTTCTGTGTGGACTGATTGTACATTCGAGCCAAGACAGGACGTCGCTTGTGCTCCCCTCACCGACCCTCAGCACGACAAAAGGCCACGAGACATCCTACACCCCCATAAAATCCACGGAAGGATCCTGAAACGTAAAGTCGCTAAAGTCTGTAAGGAAAAAGTCGTCGGGCATACCCGTGGCGCCCATTTCAAAGAGCGGTCTTGTAGTTTCTTGCGCACCGCCCCCTGCAGAGGCCGATGCTGTCATGCTGGTGGCCTCTTTTCCATGCTGACGAGGCCAGTCGGTGCCGTTGTCAATCAAGCTCTGCTTTCCGTATTGGGCGGCAAACTCAAAGAGTCGTTTTTGCAGGCCACTGGCGACCCGACGAAGCGGGTGTGCAGGATTGAGACGAATGTTGGTCAATGCCGAGACGACGGCGTTCAACATGCGGTAGTCTTGCTCGACGTTAATCTCGAGCTGGTCGCGGTGCTTGATGCATAGTTCGAGAAGCAAGTGGCCTGCAAATGAAATCATGATGTGAATGTAGCCGGGTACCCTCCAGAGATTACACAGAAGGCCGTCGGCATCCAGGATCATCCGGAAGATGGCTACGGCCGCATCGTATGCCATTCGGGCGGCCTCGAGGAGTGCCTCTGGAATCATTCTTCCTTGCAAGCCGCGGAACACGTGGTGCCCGAGGTACAGCTTGCCAAAGAGGTAATGGAGCTGGAATGCCAATGGCGGGAATTTGCCCATTTCAGGACTCGGCTCTGGATATCCCCAAGTCAGCATGTCTCGTCTACCGCGTGGCCGTGGCCCTGTACAACTCACGGAATTTGGGGCGAAATTCGTCAATCCACGCATCCAGCTCGGCAGAGAAGTTGACAAACTCGGCAGCTCGAGACTCCGGAACAGGCGTAGGGTACTCGGACCCGAGAGTCGACTTTATCCTCGCCATGGCCAGCAGTAACGAGGACTGCGCAACCAGGCGCAGGTCATGGCCGGTGCATGCTTCGTTGTCCATGTACTCTCCTCGTTTTTCGAGCACGTCTATATGCAGCGGGAGGAGACTTTCTCTGTTGTTGAGGATGGCCTGGTGCTGGTCGCTCATGAATATGCCATACCATAACCTGACACAGTCGCGGGATTGGTCCTGATCGGCACCGCCGTGATGGAGGCTCGGAGAAGTGTTAGAGAGCCCATTGATGGCTTTGAAGATGTGCCGATGGAGCCTGACGTCGCCGGCGCGCCTGACGGCGTCGCAGAGGAGAATCCTCGACGCGCCGGGGAGCCAAAACGAGCCGACTAACAAGGCGCGGATGTGCTCGACGTCCTGTCGCTCGAACAGAGCGGTGGCTATGATGTGTCTGTATTCGCGGTAGCACGTCTCGAATAAATGGCCGTAGTCTACTAGGTGCAGAGAAGAGACGGTGCAGATGGCCGCGATCAGTGCCGGAGACCCGTCTCTGACACCATGGGTTGTGCTGTGCGTGTTGACGAATCCATAGAGGATAGGATCCATTTCAACAAAGTAGTGGTTGACCAGCACCTCGGCATCCTCAATCGTTATCAGTCCTTTGCTAATGATGTCCGGTTTCTTGTACGAGCGTGCAGCCGAGGCAGTGGCAGGACCCGGGGCACTAGGTTCAGACTCGGGTTTGGTAAGATAGGCGTCGATGGGAGCAGGCACCGCGGATGGAGAATTGTGCTGTGACGGCTCGTACAGTCCATCTTCGCCGTCGTCTACATCACCATCTTGCATTCCCGACCCGGTGCCAACGCTGCTGAGGGCCGCCAACTCTAGGGGTTTTGGCAACTCTACTCCGAGCTGCTGGCACACCGTCTCCAGCGTCGCATGGACTCTGCTCAAGTCTCTCCCCAGGACGGCAAGTTGTCTATGCGGGTTAGCTTCATGGCATGATGAGGGGCGGAAAATGAAAGGGTGTAGGATTGATACCTTTGATCGAGAATAGAGTTACGTAGCCCGGTGTTGATGACGCATTCTATGTTGCGCCTTTTGCACCGTTCGCACGGCGGCCGCTCCGTCAGAAGCTCGCATTTGATCTGAGTTGGTGAACAGAGTGATGCGTCAGTTGAATGGTAATTGTCAATGGAGGAAACATGTGCGGCCAGACCTTTTGCTTGCGGCACGCAGCGCACGATGTTACTCGTCGCTTTGCCGAGGATGCGTGAGGCGGAGCGTGGGAGCTCGACATGGGCCGCGGATTCTTGTGCGCGTTCTCGGACGCATCGCTAGGCGCTTCACGGTCCGCCGCCTGGGCTGTGGAAATGGAGGCAATGGGCCTTTTCGACATTGTGCCTCGCATTGGAGCGGTGGCTTGATGCTCAAACGAGCAGTTACCAAGGTGCGATGACGTTGCCGAGACCCCATTCCTTTGAATGTGCGCAGGTCCAATTGATGTGTTCAACCCACTTTTTTATGATACTTGAGGATACTTAAAGATACTCTTTTATTAGTAATAATAACTAGTCTATTCTTATACACTTAGTATCTTTAAAAATTATAGTCTCCAAGTATATACATCTTTTAAATAAGTAATTATTATTGGCTAAATTGGACCTGCGCACATTCAAAGGGATGCAGTGCAAAGCCAGGGGAATGAATGTCTTGGGCGTCTCTTGCGCACAGCATTAGCGCTAGCAGTCATTGGTATTGTAGCGCTGCAGAATGCCGACATGGGATGCGATGCAATGGCAAGCATATTGACGTGTAATAACAGTCTCAACCTGGATACGCTGACACGTCGCCGGTTCAATGTTGGCTACTGGATCAGTTGATGCAACCGCGACTTTCGGTCTGGTGGATCTATTGCAACGTGCCACATTTGTGGGTGGCGTGAACTGCTGAAGTTAGTTGGTTGGTTGGTTGGTTGGTTGGTTGGTTGGTTAATTACTTACTGTTTTATTTGCTTCCCTACTTTCCTATTTACGTACTTGCTTACTTTTTGACCTACTTACTTTCGTAATTACTTATCTACCTAGATATAGTCACCCTTCAGCGATTACATCAATTGACATGTAAGTGGACAAGCCACTCATAGTAGTGAGTTACCAAGGTTCTCAGGTTGCTTCTCACAACCTCTACTCGGTCCAGACAGGTCATGGGCAACATTTCTATAACCATGGGCGCAATACTAAATATTCAGACAATGAATCGCATGGACCAAAATTTCCCGCCCCATATTTCAGATGAACAACCAGTCAACTACGCAGATTCCTTACATGTCCACTTTTAGAAGCACGTCGACAATACACTCCTGACTTTAGATATCATCATATTCCCCATTTTCAGCTGCCTCATGTTCAAATAGCAGGCGCTCGATGTCCGCTTTTTCGTTATCGTAGGCAATCCATAGTGGCGTCATACCAGTATCATCCTCCGCATCAATATCGGCGCCATACCGAAGCAGCAGCTGTACGATATCCCCACGTATAGTCTTAGCGGCATAGAATAGCGGTGTCCGACCTACCTTATCCTTCGTATTACTATCAGCTCCATGCTCAAGCAGCAGCTGTACAATATCCACATATTCACTCGTAGTAGCATAGAATAGCGGTGTCTGGCCGTTCTCGTCATTCGCCTCGATATCAGCGCCATACCCAAGCAGAAACCTAGCCGTAGCTTCGTGTCCCTTCTCTGCAGCGCACATGAGTGGCGTTTTGCCTTCATAATGTTTCTTATTGTTTCCATGTGCCCTGCGCTCCCCCAGCCCGTCGACATCAGCGCCGCGCTCAAGCAGCAGCTGTACGATGCCCTCATGTCCACTCACAGCGGCAAAGAATAGCGGTGTCTGGCCCTCCTCGTCATTCGCCTCGATATCAGCGCCATACCCAAGCAGAAGCCTAGCCGTAGCTTCGTGTTCATTCTCTGCAGCGTACATGAGCGGCGTTCGGCCACGCGTATCCTTTTCATCAATTACACTCTTACTTCTGCGGAGCATTGCTTGTAATAGCCCTGTGAGGCCAAATTCTGACGCAACGTGGGATAAGTATGACATTGGATGACTGTACTGAAACAGGCGATCAAATGCTGTGCAATAAAACCGCATAAACGGGCTAGGAACTGTTTCCATCAGCCAAGGAAAACAGTCGAGGAGATTATCCTGAAGGACAGTATCTTGAAGAATCCCCCTCTGCTCGCTTTGTTGTACGTGTGGCACCCACTCTATCGTAGCATATATTGACAGAGGAATATCATGCGTCCTTACAGCTGACTTGAGAAAGATCTGGGTATTCGGCACCATTTTCAGGAAGCGTACGCAGATTCTAGACAGTTCGTGATGTGCCATTCCGACGGCAAAATCGGATTCGGATATCCCGTCGGGCACGCTGCCAAGCGGTTTGAGCAGCCATAGACCCTTCTCGACAAAGAAATCCTTGACAGTCTGGTGAATGAACTGAATAGTTTTATTCGATGTGACCTCAATAAGACCGTGGCTGAGTATCTGAATTTCTTTCTTTATGCTCTCATCATCTGGCTTGTAATCTGGGGAGTTTTGACATTCCTGTAACGACGAATATGGACAATCAGTCTTAATAACCATAGCCCATTGCCAGTCGGCTATTGACAATGGCCGCATGGCAACGCAGATGCATTGGATGAGCATCACAGAGTCCGACCCCATTTCTTCGATAAGCTGGCGGTACAAGTCGTCGAGCTCTTGGGGAATCCGAAGAATGGCGTCTTCCATTTTTTCTAATTTCGTAGCTTTCAGATTGAGACTTACAATCTGCTTCACTATCAGTGAAGCCCATAGGAATACGCCATTGGCGCGTTCGGTGATCAAGTTCCGAATCCTTGGTAATATCGTTGGTTTTAGCTCTGAAAGCTGATGTCCCACGAAATTGGATATGTCCGTCCCGTTTCCCTCCTCCACACATATCTCAAACGCACTGTCCAAGGCCACAATAGGGTATGGACGACATGTGAAGCAGATGTGAAACGAATTGTAGGCGGTGGACCGGAGACTGTCCAGTAAGTCCTTGAATCTTTGGGCTAGCATCGTCGCATCCTTTTCACCACATTCATCTAAAGCGTCGACAAATAAACAGATAGGCCGAAGCTTTAGTGCTTCTAGAATTGCGGAATCGAACAATTCGCGCAACTGCTTGGGATGCCATTGCCACGCTTTGCCTACCTCACCAAAAGTCTCGCACTTCTCTTTGAAAGTGCTGACTACATCTGACACTGCGTCAGGAGTCTTGCTGAGCTGGTGAAGGAGCGACCTATAAAAGCCTTCTGGCGTCCTTTGCAGTTCTGTACCACGGCCGTGGAAGAAGAATGAGAGAATCAAGGGATTCTCTTTCACATTGCGTTTTTTCTTTGCGTCATCCAGAGCATGCCGTAACAAAGTCGACTTTCCAGAGCCTGGTTTCCCCTTGATCCAAAGCAGACCTCGATTTCTCTCAACCCACTCTCTATACATTTCGTGCTGGGATAGCCACCCGCATGTTCCTGTCTGGGCAGCATCGATATCGTAGTACCGACTTTCCATTTCTGGAAAAGCCAATGACTTCCAGCAATCCTTCCCCTGAATCGGGGTTCCATTTCTTTCTACTCAGTCTTGTTAGTTGAGAAACTGCAAGCCATTCCGTTATTGGCATTCTCACCATTATACACGGTGTTATTCACCGTGCCCCCAGCAGCATTGATCTGATAGCCAGGGCCCTGATGAGCATACGCCGAGTCTCCGAAATTATTATTGTTCATCATAGATCATCATCTACCCAAATTCAGTAAGCCAAGGCCACGGTGCTACCTGGAAATTTCGTGTGCCTCGTGTACCCTCTGTTCGCAGAGGTATGCTGACTGAGAATAGGTTAGTGAGTCTGACCGGACCAGAGTAGGAGTTGGAATATTACCTGTACAATGGCTGGGTAATGCTGTGAAGCTTAGATGAAGAACAAGAGCCTGTTATCGAAAGTCCCTTGCTCAGATACACCCTGAGGCCTGGGCCAATCCGTAGCAGCTGGGACTCGACCAAGTGGTATGCGATTTTGACAAGTGAGGCTTCTTGTAACTGAACACGCAACCAACGGTAACCAGAGTATGGTATATAGACAGAAGGTTGCTTTAGGACATGTAAAATCATTGAATCGCTTCGCCAACTGCTTGAATAAGTGACTGCGTCCTTGTCCTTTAAAAGCTGGTGGAAAGAACACACACCGTCGGGCACCGACGTCGGGCAGAGAGGAGACTCACTTGGCAGTCTCTTTGAGACATCCTTGCATACGGAGTACAATGAACAATAATTCATTGCAGTGCCCAAGGGAGACCGGCTTAGCTCAAGCAGATGGGTAGCACGGGCTGGACCACAGCCAGCGCCGAGCCTGTATGGTTGGGTTGTATTTATCTCCCATTGGCTTCTTGATAGCGAATTGATGGTGGGGTATTCCAGCCAGTCACTATGAGCCTTGTGTCCCTGTCTCGAATGAAATGTTCCGGATAATCGGCTGGCATGGCATCGAAGGTTCGTGGTAGTGAGGCATTAATAAACGTCACCGGCCGGTGAGTAGCCCAGTCAGCCAGCAGTAAAGATGCCAGCGGTCACACAGATGACCAACAAAAATGGAAAAGGGAGAATTAGACCGGGGCTCGACTCAGCCGAGATGTGTGTGTCTTTCCTCCTATCACACTAAAAGATGCCAAAAATGGGCGTGGCCACGCCACGGTCTTTTGAGTGTTAGCACCCATATGCCGTGTGACACCTGCCAATGGCATTCACCAATTGTATCCTGCAGCGATGTTGGTACTTGGGCTTCAAAAGAGGCCTCCCAGTTTGCGAGAGCCTCAGAACTGACGAGGCTGTGTTGATGTAGTGTGGTAACAGAACCCAACCGAAACATTGGGCTTGTGCCGCTCGCAGCCAAAACTGCGTCACTTTGTTACATGATTCGTATCTTCAGACCCGGTCTCTTATTTGCTATGCACCGTTATTGTTGGATAGCTGGGGTTACCCAGGCATGGTGTTTGGGCGAAATACAGAGCACGCTGCGAGGTGAATCCGAGACATATAGCGTACAACGTTACACATTTCCTAGACTTGAGTAAAGAAAGAAGAAGAAGAGTAAACGGCGTATCATATGCGGCGAGGTTACTTTGGTCCTCGGCGTCTTCACCAGTGGTGAGGTATGGAGTATGGTGGCGGAATATATTTACCCACCAACAAGTATACACTAATATACTGTAAAATGTGGTATTATAGAGCGCGATAGCCGGGTACCTAGTCTGGTTGAGTAGCTTTTGTCTCCCACTGTATGATGGTCGTCATTTCCGCCAATGACGGCGAGACTGATGGTACGAGAACTCTTCATAAGGGGCCTCAAAGGGAACGCCATCACTGAAGCTGCCTCCATATTGCACAAGTCTATGATAAATGCCCAAGAGCCGACCCTCAGAAGTGGCATGTGAGGCGGAAAGATGTTTACTGGCTGTGGATAAGGCAGAGCAATGCAGACGTAAGAGGGCCGTTGTTCGAGTCTGATTCGGCCATGTAGCAACATAGTAAATCAACACGTCGACTTACATCTGTCATTAAATGACAGAACCTCAAGTTGTATCACACAACGCCGGCCATGGCCCACGTCACAATATTGTGTCTTGTGATGCGGAGTACACATACCGTTATCAGTGACGAGTTGGTATCACGAATGCATGATGCGCTAGGATCGGGCCGTTCAACTCTGGGGTCAGATGCATTTGCGGAGGAAACTGGACGAATATGTTTGGTACATCACATGCACTCTTACCCAATCGCCAACCAAGCAGGATAATCTGTATTATGCATGTGTTGCGATGTATGTAAGCACTAATGCCTAGTGAGGCACGGCTTGACATATCCGGGCCTGATACAAAATGTCTGTCACATACTCCGTAATTGAGGAAACATAAACACTGCATGGAAAACCGTAACCGGCACTCGTTGGGCAGTAAGCCCGTTGCTGACCTGACCCAGCGCGGCTCCGTGTTGTGTCAAGCAGTCCCTCATATCATGAGCCGGCCTGTTTGTTAGAGGTCACCCTTGGCTCATCTTCTTTATCCCAATAGAATTATATTTTCAATGGGGTTTCTTAAATCAAAGCGTACTTCGCGAAACCATCGCCTGCCCAGTGGCAATTCGCCAAACCATGAGGCGCCGAACGCCGTCGTCGGCTATGAGCGCTCAGGCGGCTCGGCAGACTCCAGGCTGTCGTCTATCAACGCTCCTGATCAGTCCTTTCCGGATGGTGTAGAAGTTCTGCGTGACTGCCATGACGCCCTCGTCGATATCTGTTTTGTTCACGGGTTGACGGGCAATCGGAACAGCACCTGGACTGCTCGTGGCCAGTCCGAACCGTGGCCAAAGACGCTGCTGCCGAAGAACCTCGGCAAAGCTCGCATCATTACATACGGGTACGACGCGTATTTTGTGCGCAAATCGGTCGCATCTCAGAACGGGCTAAGCGAGCATGCTCGGAACTTCTTGAGCGACCTGACGACGGACAGAGACTTGTCCAATGCCTCGTCTCGGCCGCTGCTCCTCGTCGCTCACAGCCTTGGCGGGCTCATCTGCAAGGAAGCCATACTGCTTTCTAGAAACAACCCCGAGGAGCACCTCAAAGCCATGTTCCATTGCACAAAGGGCATCCTGTTCATGGGAACTCCGCACCGGGGGTCTTGGATGGCGGACTGGGCCAGCATACCCGCCTGGGCTCTTGGGACTGTCAAGTCCACCAACAACTTTCTGCTTCAAGTTCTAAAGACAAACGACCGTCACCTGAAGTCTGTTCAAGACAATTTCTGGTCCATGATACGGGAGCAGCAGAATAGTGGCCGTGATATCAAGGTCACCTGCTTCTTTGAAGAGCTTGCCATGCCTGTGGTCGGTAAAGAAGTCGTCCCTAAAGACTCGGCCACTCTCGAAGGTTACCATGCACTTAGCATTCACGCCAACCACAGTGACATGGTAAAGTTCAGTTCCGCAGACGATAATGGATACAGAAGGGTGCTGGGTGAGCTGGATAGATGGTATAAATGGATCAAGGATCCGGACACCCGTCAAGTATCACAACCGATGAACGAAGGCCGCGCCAGGGAACATCCCAGTTTTTCATTTCACAACAGCGGGTCCGGTGACATGTTCAACGCGCCTGGGGGCACGGTGAACAATTGGCAACGTCCCTGATACTAGACACAGATGGATGTTGCTAGGGGCGGAAGACTGCTTCTTGAAAGCATGTAGTGCTGCGAGATGGGCTTTGATAATCAGGTAGTATGGGAAGTTGTTCATGTATTCAGTATGGATAGTCACGCCCTAAGTCTACATCTAATAAATATATCTGAATCCCTCCGGACCTCGCCCTGTCAAAGTCCCGTTTGCCGCCGCCTCGTTCTCCGCCCTCTCCAGCTTCCTATTCTCCCACTTGTGTAAGTAGCGCAAGATCAATGCGAGCACGCCGACCAAGAAGCTTATCGCTGCATTGGAACTCCCGCCCGGAATGTACTGCGGGCCCTGGTCCTTGTTGTACATGTAGCTCCCGTAAATACTGGCCGTGTTGCCAATCATGTTGACAATGGCAATGGCCGCCGACCGCTTGACCAGCGGCCGCGGGAAAGAGTTGGCCACCCAGCCAACAATGATGGTGTACGCAGCGATGGAGCCCATTGGCATCAGGAACATGGCGAAGAACCGGGCACCGGGCGCTGTGGTGCCGGTGGCAATGGCGTTTCCGGCCGCCGCCACGACCATGAGACAAAAGATGTGAATCGACTTGTCCTCGGTCTTGGCTGCGGTCCAATTGACCGTGATGGAGACGAGGAACGTCGCGAACCAGGCTATGAAACGGGTCAGAATACAGAATCGTCACGTTCGGTCGACTGGGGATTTTGGAGGGACGGACCTGGAACCGTGAGCAACAGGGTAATCAGAGGGTCGTATCCCAGGGTTTGCACGATGCTCGGAAAGAAATATTGAAACGTCTGCGACAACAGACTCATGTGTGCTAGAAGAATAAAAAGATAAAGCCGGTAGTCTTTGAGGGCCAGCTTCAAGCCTTGCCAGACTGTCGTGGATTTGCCGTCATCCATCTCGTTGATGTCGGCCAAGAGCCGCCAGGATGCAAAGGCGCGTTCTTCATCGCTCAGCCAGCGAGTTGTTTGAGGGTAGTCTGGCAGGATAAACGCGGACATGATGCCAACGCCAATCGTAGCCACGCCCTCGACTATGAAAAGCCACCTCTGTTCCAGATGGTTAGCACAACCAAGGGTTCCAGAATGTTGTGGCAGGGCGCATAGAAACATACCCATCCGGCGATTCCATGTACACCGTTCAAGTCCCTCAGAACACCGAATGAAATGAGCCCTCCAAACATGTTGGCAAGTGAATTGCCGGTGTAGAGCCAGGCCACTCTGCGCGTCAGCTCGGCGCGGGTATACCATGACGACATGAGAAAGATGGCGCCGGGAAAGAAGGGTGCCTCAGCAAAACCTGCGGCAAGACATGACACGCCGTGTTAGCCATTGGACGATGCGTTCCACAAGATGCGCGACTAGAGAGGGATGCTGCTCACCCAGGAAGAAACGAATGACGATGAGGTGGACAAAGCTGCCAGCCGCGGCGTTGCAAGTAGACACGACGCCCCAAAGGACAATAGCAGAGGCCAAATAGATGGAAGGGCGGACGCGCGTGATGATGATGTTGGACGGCAGCTGCATCAGCAGATAGCCAACGAAGAAAATGGACGTGGCCAGGTTGAAGTCGGTTCCTCGCATGTGTAGGTCCTTTTCCAGAGTGCCCTGTCGGGCTTGGGCGAGGTTGGATCGATCGAGGAAGTTGAGCAAGTACATGACGATTAAACAGGGCATCATGCGCGTGTCAATCTTTCGAACGAGCCTCTTGTCCTGGGCAGCAACCCATTCCGGATCCCTGCTGGCGAATGTGCGAAACAAGTCTCTCTCTGCTTCACTTGCGCCGGGGGCAATGTCCAGCGAGACCTTGCCAGCCAGTGAGCCAAGCTCAACCCGCTCCAGCTCTGTGTCCTTGGGTGCCGTCATGACGTGGCAGGCGACGTGTTCCAGGCGTATTCAGAATTCACACCAAGGGGGGAGGCGAAAGGGCGATGGCGTTGTGCAAACTTGGACGAGAGTTGCGACGGACACTTGGTAGCACTTATATACAACCAGACCAGTCCGGTCGATCTCTCTCCCAACTTCCCGGTAGTACATGGCTGAATTTCCCCGCAAAGAATGTCAGGTCCATGGTCTCGTGTCCTGCTGCTTTGGAGAACCCTGGCGAACGGCGATGGCTCCTCCACACGTCGTTGCACCTGCACCGGAAGCTGTCAACTACCTCGAGGTGCGCCCGGCAGCGGCCGGCAGAGGGAGGATGACTACCAGATGAGCGGGCTCGAAATACCGCGGACCGACGAGAGCGAAGCGTCGCCAAAAACCGTCGACGGTGTTCCACAACTCAAAACTCGGAGGCGCACAAGCCACTGCTTGGCCATTCGTAATGACAATTCCATCGAGTACTACAACAAGAGATAAGAAACAAAGAAGCAAGTAAACAAAGTTCAGCCACTGCCTAGGTAGATGCCTTTACCCGGGACCATGGGCGCCACCACAATCGAACCAGACGGCTTCCCATCCAGGGAAGATGAGTCGAGAAAGTTGGCATCTGTGCGGTTACAATCAAGGCAAAATCGCCCCGCACCAATCGGCCAATCCTTGGGCTCGGATCCCTGGCGGGGCGCCCTCGTCCCATCTCAGCCCTCAGCACACAGCAGTCTGTCCGTCTCAACATCGCGCGTCGATTCCAAAGCCGCACTTGAGGCGTCACTGCGTGGCTCTGCATCTCCGTCGTTTGCAAAATCGCCATCATGAAGATTCTTGTTACCGGAGCCGCTGGCTACATTGGCCAAATCTTGTCCGAAGCGTTGCTGAATGCCGGTCACTCTGTAGTCATGGCCGATATTGTCGAGCCTCTTGTTCCTCCCGGCGCGAAAAGTGCCCAGGATCGCGCGACCCTTGTCCAAGTCGACTTGTTTGAAGATGCAGAGTCCGTCATCGGCCAAGATCTGGATGCCATCTACATTTTGCACGGCATCATGTCCGCAGGGAGCGAAGCAGACGTGGACCTCGGCTACCGCGTCAACCTGCACAGCGTGCTGAAGCTGCTCGAGGCTGTGCGAAGGCTCTGCCCCGGCGTGCGCGTGATATACACGTCGTCCATTGCCGCCTACGGCTCTCCCCTGCGCGGCCTGCCCTCTGAAGACACCGTGTGCACGCCCCAGACGAGCTACGGGACGCACAAGATGATGATCGAGGCCGTGCTGAACGACTACAACCGCCGCGGCTTCATTACGGCATTTGCCCTCCGACTTCCTGGCATATCTGTCCGAGGCGGAAAGCCCACCCAGGCGGCGAGCAGCTGGATGAGCGGCATCATCCGCGAGCCGCTACAGGGTCTGGAGACGACCATTCCGTGCGGGGACGACTTCAAGTGCTGGGTGTGCTCGCCGAGAAGGCTCGTCAAGAATCTCACCATTGCTCTGACCCTCCCGGCGGACTGCATGCCTCCGCATATCCGGCAAGTCCTGCTCCCGGGGATCGCTGTCACCGTACGGGAGATGCTTCAGGTATTGCGCAATGTTGGCGGCGACGAGGCTGTCAGGCTGGTGCGGAGGGAAGAACCCACCGCGGCCATCAGAGCCATGTTGGACAGTTGGCCGACGCAATTTGACGATGCAAAGGCATTGCGGTTGGGGTTTGTGCCCGACCAGCCTTTCCAAGACACCGTGCAGGACTTTGCGGATAGCTTGAAGTGAAGGGGCCAACCTACTGGTCTTGTCTTTTACTGATGTCTGGTGCGTGTGTCATGGACTACTCTCAGAAGTGAACTGTCAAGGTGGTCCATTCGCCTCTACAAGCCCATCAACGTCCGGTCATCAGGCCGAGCACTGTGTTTTAGACAGACATGCTTGCCCCCGAGTCAGTCCAAAGCCAAGGGCGGGTGATGTTATATGTTAGCCACTCTCGTATACGCGGTCGAAACAGCAGCATGAATCCATGCCCAAACCCCGCAACCCCAAACGCCACACCCGTAGTCGTCTCGAATTGCTGCCGGCATTGTACCCGTTGGCAACTAGTAGTAAGCCAACCAAGTGGCTCGTCCACTTGTCGCTGACGGGTATCCGTAGACGGGGTCAAGTCAAGGTAACCAAGGAAGGAAGGTTGCCTCGGATTTGCGGAATCTCCAAGAGACGTAGAGCAGCTCTGCGTTTCTGCTGTCGCTAGTGGGCGTACTGGATTCGACAAGGGGAAGAATATCAGGGTTACGCCAACGATTGCCTCCCTCTGTGCTCACCATCGAGACGACTATTCTGTTGTCATCTACTCACTTCGTCTCATCGGTTCCGAGGGCACGAGATGTGACGAGGCCGGCTCTTTCACAGGGAAGCCAAGCCGGCTGCCACGACTCTACCCAAGGGCAAGTCTCCGGCACTTGGCTACTCCCGATACTACAGCACGACCAAGCGTAGACCAGACATGATTGGTGACAATGATAAGACATGGATGCGCCCATACGAGAACATTACAGCCCACACAGTCACAAAGACTAGCGTCAAAGTGCGCTGCGTATCCCTTTAAATGTGCGTAGGTTTAATTTTTGTAATAAACTAGATTTCTAGTTAATAATAAGTAACTAAAATTTTAAAGATATATAAGTATATAAAAATATATTAATTTATTATTTTTAATAAAAGTATATTTAAGTATATTTAAGTATTTTTAAGTATTTTTAAATATATTTAAGTATTTTTAAGTATCTTTAAGTATCTTTAAGTATTATAAAAGAAGAGTAGGTTAAATATATTAATTGGACCTGCGTACACTTAAAGCTCAGCTATCTAACGAGCTATCCAACAAGCCATCTAATAAGCCATCCAACAAGCCATCCAACAAGCCATCCAACAAGCCATCCAACAAGCCATCCAACAAGCCATCCAACAAGCCATCCAACAAGCCATCCAACAAGCCATCCAACAAGCCATCCAACAAGCCATCCAACAAGCCATCCAACAAGCCATCCAACAAGCCATCCAACAAGCCATCCAACAAGCTATTTAACGAGCTATCCTATAAAAAACTATCCGATAAAAAGCTATCGTGCAAAGAAGAAGAACAAGCAAAAATAGGTTTCAAGATGGAAATTGATAACGTATCTGCTATTATTACAATTATAATAGCAGGTCTTGGCTGCTTATATACCGGGTTACAATATTGTCTTGCTTAGAAAGCAGATAAACAAGCCGAAGATATGCACGGTATATTATATACTTCTACTTGTAATGGACTAGCTATACCTGCGGCTGCACATATATATTACTAAATAGTAAAAATAAACTTAAAGAAAAGAGAAAAAAAAAAAAAGAAAAGGTTTTATCTCCTTTTTTTCTTACCTAATATACTTTATTTTAGCCTAAAGTTTATTTATACTAGGTCTAGTCTAGCTTTATTTAAGGTTTTACCTAGACCTTAAAGTTTTTAATAGCCTAAAGTTTATTTATATTAGGTCTAGGCTAGCTTTGCTTAGAATCCTACCTAGACCTAAGCTTTTAGCTTAAGTTTATAATATACCTTTTTACTTACTTATATTACTAAATAACCCCCCCTTCTAGAGCTAAATATATATATGCTTTACCTCTACTCTTATTTATTTTAGCCCCCTTATAAGGTATAAAACAGCCCCTCTAGAAAACAAAAATATTTTTGCCTACTTATTATAACTTTCTTTTTTCTCCTCTTAGCTATCTTAATATTTTAATTATTTTAATTAGAACTTGTTACGACCCAGCACGTAGGCTGCAGGTTGGGCCGGCTGCATGGAGCCGCCGGGCGGCACA